ATTTATTAGAGCATAAGCTTTCGTGGACTATAGCCCACTGGGCTATAGTCCACGAAAGCTTATGCTCTAATAAATTTGTTAGTCTCTAAGGTGCCACAAGTCCTCCTGTTCTTCTTCTTATCCTGAGTTACAGTCCAGGCATTCCACTGAAGTCCACAAGGGAGCAGAGGGTGTAAATCATGGCAGGACATAGCTCAGAAATTCCTTGAGGCAACAGCCATCCCTCACCAGCTCTGATAGCCATCACCTTGGAGATGTCAGGGGAGGAATGCAACCTGGTCACCTTAGGCCACGCCCACACGAGGGCAAAGTGTCACGTTTTGAAATGCACATGTGTTAGTTAGCTAATGGTTTGTCTACACAGCACCGCAGTGCAGCTCAGGGGGTGCAAACTGCAGAGCGCACCAGAGTTGCGCTTTAGCTGTCTCCTGTGCACACTGTGGGTGTAAACTAAAAGGTTCCTAGTTCACATTAACACAGTCCTGTTGGAAAGACGACTGGATTCACGTGCACTGGGTCCCTTTTGGTTTGCAGCAGGAGCGTCCACATAGGGCAGTTAGTGTGCAGCTCTTTGGTGCGCTCCGCCATTCATACCCCGGTAGTCTTTTCAAATGTAAACATGGCCTTAGTGCCCCTGACTCTTCCCCCAGTGGAGCAATTGGAAGTTTTGCCATTGATTATAATGAGGATTCCCTGTCCCTCCCTCCACCCCTGCCAATTATGCAGTCCCTCCCATGAAACCACGCCACTCTGTGAAGCCCCAGACCCAGACATACCCATTTAGGCTGCAGAGGATGGAAGACAGACCCATGATCAGGTTAGCCATAGAGAGGGCATTGGCGACATTCTTGCGGACAAACTCCAGAGCCTGGGCTCGGCCTGCTTGCTCACTCAGGAACAGCTTCTTAAAGTGGTGAAATATACCTGGAACCCAGCAGGGGGAGACAGAGTCAGGACGAGAAGACCTTTGCCGCTGCCTTTCCAAGAGGAAATTATTTAAGCATAGATCCTTGAAGAACAGGAGAAGGCCCAATGGATCAGCGTTGAGTCTATAGTTAAATTCCCCAAGTATCTGTGAATCCGTTCTAGGGTCAAGCTGAGGGAGTCTTAGAGAGGGCGAATTTTATTGTGTGAACATGGAGCTAGGTTTTTAATGGAGATCCTATTGCAATGTGTCCTGGGACACAGAACTGCTGTTAAAAGGGGACAGGAGCTTCTTGGCCTTATAGGTTTTTTTCCTTAAATAAAAGTAAAGCCAATAAAACGCTAAATACCAATCGCAGCCCAGTTTGGATTTTAAAGAGTTGATGCAAAAGTGGTGGAACGGGGGACAAGGACTAGTGCCCCCCAACTCCAATACTCTATATTTAGATCCTTCCTTCAAAAGTTTGCTTTTGGGACAGCCTTACAAAGAGGGGAGTTTTCCTGCTATTGGTGTGTAAATTAGTACCTGACTGTTGTTCTTTGTGGGGAGACCTGAGACAGCCAGCAGTTCCTCTGCCATTAAAGGGGCCAGCACTCATCTTGGTGCTTCCTTTGGCAGCTGTCAATGCTAACGTGCCAGCCTGGCTGTAGCCCTTCTGCCCCACATCATGAGACGATTAACATGAGATTAGCTCCCAGAGGTGGTGTTTTTTAAAAACCATACATGCTGCCCAGAGTATTTTCATGCACTTTCAAGCCTTAGTTTCACACCTGCCTAATTACTAGGCACTGCATGTCCTCACTCACTCAGCTCTTGCGATGATCTGGCCATTTGCAGCCTTTGCATTCTTATATATACACACACACGTGTATATATTCATAGGGATGGATGTCTTTTGCCTTCCTTGGTCCCTTTAGCCCCCCTCCCCTGAATAGCAGGTGACGGAGGGGAGGAAAGACTGCAACAATAAGATGTTATCTCAGGTAGTAGCCCAGAAGAATTGCTACCTCTATAGACTTCATAGGAGGTGACATTCCTGTGCAGGGGGCTAGCACAAAGCCTACGCACCACTGAAGTCATCAAAACTGGGTTTAAATGGAGCATAGGGCTTGTGCTGGCCGAAAGTGATGGGAGTTTATGCACGTTAGTTTTGCAAGAGATTGGGGGGCAACACATCAATTGAGTTCTAGGCCACCGCAGCCAAAGATAACATCACAAATGAAAGCAATTCACTCTTCAGATGTTCAGCCCAGTTGCCCCATTAGCTTTCATTCACCCCATTCTATAACCACGTGCCACAATTATACAATTGAATATGCATTTTATAAAAAGCTTATCAGAAAATTCTTAAAGCTGTTTCTGCTTTACTCCCCCACACCCAACCACTAAAACAAACATTATTTTTACTTAGGAAAAAAACCAAAAACCAAACTTACAATAAAACCAACCCCACGTTTTAAGCTCTATTTATCTTATATACCTATAGGGCTACTCTTTAGAGAAAAGGTTAAGGGTCATGTCCTACTAGTGTGTTTTGCACCCTGCCCTTGACGTGTTTCCAAAGCCAGGCAAGTTCATGAGATTCTTCATCTGAAAGAAAACAGCATGTCAGAGCAAAAGCCATCAATGTGAAACGAGTCAGATTGGTGTATACGGCTTTACCGCCCTCCCTTCAAGCCCTCCCAAGGCTCATACTGGGACAAGACAGTAAAAGCCAGGATCTTGTAAGACACATCGTTATCAACGGTTCACTACCACTTGCTCTTGTGAAAACAGATTTCCCACGAGGCAGCCATTGGGCCCCCATTTGGAGGTGCCATCTGCAGTCAGGCTTATTCTTTTTAAACTTCAGTGACCTGCTCACTTGTTCGCTCTTTGTACAAAAGCACAAGTTAGTTTTTAAAATAACTGTTAAACATCCCATCAAAACTGTAAAGCTGTGTCCATTCTAGGCAAAGTCAGAGGAACAGCGGGAACTAGTCCACTTAAACGTAATACTTGAGCAGATAAAACATGCACCTGGAGGACTACGAAGTCTATTTACCCCACATTACAAACAGCCCCATTTAGATTAACATAAAACACAGCAAAAGGTTGTTAGAAGAGGGACCATTTACATCAGTGGGCGCATTTGAAATGTTTTATTGACTAAAACAAACTATTGTCAAATTAGTGCTCATGAATCACTGAAATGAGATACCTGCTTAAAAAACAGACGGACCACTCCTACTAACAAATCTCCCAAGATAAAAATGCAGGAATGTTTCCTGTGCTCAGGGCTTGTGGGGAGCAGTCAATTACATCCAACTTTTCAAATGAACTGGCTGAAAAATATTCTGTAAGAAAAAAAAATCTAAAGAACAGACAGATTCTTTTGTAACCATCAAACGCTGAACAGCTGGACTATTGGTTCTTTTAGCATCTGTTCCATTTTTGTAGGTCGTGTTCTTTTACCACAAGCTAAGAGTAATGTCAAAGGTTACAGACACCATGGAAAGAGAGGGAAGTAACATACAAGAAATCAAGGTGATTTCCATATGAATTAAATGCATGTTTATTTGTAGATTTGGGACCAAATTTGCCACCTCACTTTGGATGCTCTGTACTATTACAGTGATTAAAAGCAGCAATAAACCCATCTTCAACAACCATTTAAACCAAGTTTGCAGCCACTTAGCTCCTTTAGGCTGCTGTGGTGATGCAAAGTGTACTGGTGATACTGGCCCATGATATTTGCAGGGATAAGGCTGTTTACAGGATTACACCCATGCACTCCCACACAATTCAGTAGATGCAACCAAGGGAAGAGTCTTGGCTCTATCTCGAGTGCTTTTTTAATTGCACTGCTGGTTGGAGATTGGGAACAGCAATGAAGAAATAACATTTTTAAACATATTATAATTGCACTTTAACATTTCATCTCAGTCATTTAAAGACTCCAATATTACGGTTTATCAGAGGAACAGAAGGCCACCTATAGGTACAAACGCCCCCGCCCCCACACAAAAACGGGAGGGAAGGGCAGGAACAAAAGAAAAAACACCCCTGCCCTCACTTGTCCACCTTTGTGCAACTATGGGAACTGAAAACAGCCAATGGTAAGAAGCCATTTCAATCATTTTGTTCAATTGCTCATTTTATTCTCTGGGGCAAAACCCATCCCTATGTAACACCATGGACTTTAATGGGTTTGTACTAGGCACGAATGTAGTTTTGTATGTTACAAGTCACCTGGCATCAGATCCTGTATGTATTGGGCATTCCATTGAAAACAACGGAGGTTCTGGGTTTTCAGCCACTGAAACCCAGCCCCGGGCAGAAGGCCCACTTGCAAGGGCCTACGTACCATTTAAATCCCATTTAACCCTTGAAAATAGGGTTTATGGAGGACTTAAGAACACCACAGTGCCTTGCAAGCAGCCCTCCGTACTGGGTGAGTATCACCCAGAGTGCCAGACTGAGCCTGCTATTCGGAGAGTGTTTTCCCGGGTTACACACATTCCACTTTGTACCCATTTGCTTTGTTTTATGTTAATTCACCTGCATTCTAGATTTTCCAGCAGGAACCTTTAGCACTGGGACTTGGTTTCCTCTATCAGTTAGAAGGGAACTTGTTCTCCCTCTCTATTGCAAGGAAAGTGCAGCCATGTTGCAGGGAGAGTTGCAAAACATCTCGAGCTTGCCCTAGCTGGATTTGGTGTCTACCCAAGGTGAGATTTTTGTCTCCCCTATGTAATTTTGCAGAAGAACCTCAGGTGATCCTTGGAGGAGTCTTATTCAGGTACTGACCTAGCCAGATCCTATTTAGCAACATACTCTGGAGGCGCAACTGCAAGATGGGCATAATATAGTGCATGTTTTATGTGCTAAAATAGTATTTTAAGTGAACAACTCTCTTCATTCATATCCCAAAACACCAGTTAACAGCTCCTTAGTTTGGTGCAATAAGTGGACATCACAATTCATACTATACCTCTCAAATGGAACACATCTGTGATGTTTAAAGACAAAAAAGACTTCTTTGCCTATAAATTATTCCATCATCAGGTACTATTCCCTCTGCTTTTGAATTCCTAATGTATTGAACACTGAACATTCACACACAACCCTTCCCCTCCTCAATAATCACCACCCGCCTCATTTTATTTGTTGCTTTTGTTGGAATTCAGCAGCCAAATGCAACATTTAACAAGAGACCCTCACAGAGTCTTAAATTTAAAAATCTAACCCCTGATATCCAGTTTTACTCCTTTAGCTTTTCCAGCTGAATTAAACAAAACACTTAAGAAATATATTTAAGGAACAACCCCTGATGGGACAACTGTTCTCCCCCCAACCGAATGGCCCTTTCCCCATCTCTATGGTTTTCTGTCACAGTTGAGAGGTAGGTCAAAAATTATTGCAAATGTCATGAAAGTGTTTTGTGTTCATACACACAGGTGGATCTAGCTCATGCTAGAAAATTCCCAGAATGAGCCTTGCAAGTGTCTTTTGCTTAGATGCCAATATCGTTACAAGTCCAAAATTTAAAAACATCCAAGATCTCTGCTGGGATTTTTTTCATTATCATGGTTTGATGTACAACAGCTGTTCTCTCGCATTATGAGCTTCTTCAGAAGAAACAGAACCTCTGAACTGAATCTGCCAGGCAGCTCCTTGCTGGGTTTTTTTATTCTATCACTGATACTGGCTCAAGTTTTATTGATTATGAAACAGTTATTTTTATAAGGAGCATACAACAGGGTCTTGACTGAGTGTTAATGGAAACCTATCAAAGACAGACGGGCCTGATTTCCCCCTCACTCACACTGGTGTAACTCCAGAGTAACTCCACTAATGTCAGTGGAATTACATCAGCATAGATGAGATGAGAATCATGCCCTGTGCAGTCCTTCACACCCGGGCATGAAATCCACCATGTCAGAGGTCTCCATTCACTTACACTCACTTACATTCCCTACTCAGGCAAGGCTCCAATTGACTTTAATGAAGCTTTGCAGAAAAAAGCCCTGAAGAATCCAGCCTTTGCACACTAAACCTGATTAACTCTTGGGATGAATGTCACCCCAATCCCAAGGGGGCCTGTATAAGCTTTAGAACACCACTAGCCCCATAACTAGAGGCCTTGTTTAGGCCCTCTGCACTGAGATGACTTTCACTCTTTATAACCTCATTCTTACAAGATAAGTTTGAGAAAACAGAATATCCTAAACCAAAATTAGGGCATTCAGGAGATGTGTCTTAAAAAGGAGGGCTGAGCAGGGTTGTTACATAGATTAATTCTTTGCATCACTCCATAGTTGTAGGGGGACTGATTAAGTCAGGGCATTAAATAAAGAACTCTGAACCTATTATAAGCCCGTACGGTGACATCGATGAAAATCCAGGCTTATTAAAGTAGCCTCAGAACGGTCACCACTGACCCTCCTTCAGCCCACAACATCTGGAAAGAAATGTCAGGAAAAAATAGCATGATATATTCCTCAGCTCCACAATAGCAGCCAGCTTGATGGTCTTCAGCCAGATGACAAGTGAGTAGCCTTGAGGGCTGCCTGGTGAATTTCAAGATGCTTAGATAGAAATTCTTGGTAGTTGTTATCCAACAAAGCAGCCATCAAAACTGATAATTCACTAGACGCAGGAGACAGACCTTGCACACATACATTATACCAATGGAGTTCTCGACAGCGTGACAGAGAATGGACTCCACAGTGTAAGTTTTAAAATTATTTGTCCTCTTCCTCTCCTCCCACTTCCCTGCTCCCATGGAGGTCAATACAAGTTTTGCCATGGACTTTAATGGAACCGGACTGGGCCCTTAAGTTATAGGACCTGATTCTCATCTCACACCAGATGCATACAAGTCTAACATCCACTGACTGCAGTAGTGTCCCTCGTTAGTCATTCTGGTGTAAGTAAGAGCAAAAACCAAAAGGAACTCCACTGAAGTCAAGCTACAGTGCTGTAAAACGGATGAAAGTGAGAGGAGAATCAGGCCCATAGACTTACGTTAACTTCTTGCAGCCAAGTCACAAAATAGGGACAGACGTTTAGTTTAAATAAGCTAAATCCTTACTCCAAACTCCCCTTTGATTGGATTCTCTCTCAGTTTTGCTGGTGTAGATCCAGAGTAACTCTGACAGGATTACTTGTCATTTTGGATTTACATCAGGCGAAATGAGATCCGAATCCAGTCCATTAACTTCAATTGTCGGAATAAGGGCTGACGGATATGGCCCACAGAAGTGTATTTTTGAAAATAATGTTTTATTCCTTCTCCCATGATTTTCTTTCAAGTTAAATATCAGCCCATCCCCTGAGAGTTAAAACTTAGTTCTTCTGAAGAGCCCTGTCGAGTTAATGAATACTCCTGGCCCCATATGAACTGTGGGGTTACTAACCACCTCAGAGTTGCTGCAGACAGGAATCCTCCCCAGCAGAAATCTTGGATTTTAACAATCAGTGAAAACAGAGAAAAGCAGCAACAAAAAGATTAGAATCTTGATACCCAACAATGCTTTTGGCATCACAATGGCCGGCTGCTAGCATCAGCAGTAACAGAACATGGAGAGAGGGTGCTCAAAGGGTTTAAAAAAAAAAATCAAGTATGAAATTGGCATTTCTTTACCTTTCTGTTGTAAAAAAGGGTTTATCCACTGGCCTCCAGTAAGGCAAGTTTGTTCCACTTTTGAGCAGTGTCTTTCACAATAACCTGTGTACACTTGCATCAACTGTGATTACGTGGGGGAAGGAGGTTAAAACATTCAACCAATGAGTGTTAACTAACAACATCCCACTCCCATGTCCACAGGGCCGGATTCTCCTATCACAGCAATGAGACTCCATTGGTTTCAGCAATGTTTCCCCAGTGTGACAGGAGGATCAGGCTCAGCGTGTCTGGCGTGGTGTGAGGCAGTCTAGCCTCCCCGCATTTAAGGCACAATCCAGCTCCCATTGAAGTCAATGAGTCTTTCCAATGGGGGCCGGATCAGGCCCTCATGCCATATGGGCCACATTCTGCCTTTGGATGCACATGGGCCTCTCCTGTGGAGGTCAATAGGAGTTCTCAGCGTAGGCTAAAGCAAGCTGGGCTCCTGCAACTTCCCTTTAATTTTTTATATCCATGTGCGGAATGAATTTTGTTATGTGCACCAATAAGGAGGTGATGTGTAGTGGGGTTGGGGCCGAGGGGTTTGGAGTGTGGGAGGGGTCTCGGGGCTGGGGCAAGGCATTGGGGTGCAGGGGGGCAAGGGCTCTGGCTGGGGGTGCAGACTCTGGGGAAGGGCCAGAGATGGGGGATTTGGGGTGCGAGAAGGGGGCTCAGGGCTGGGGCAGAGGGTTGGGGTGTGGGGGTGAGGGCTCCAGCTGGGGGTGTGGGCTCTGGGTGGGGCCAGGGATGAGGAGTTTGGGGTGCAGGCTGCCCCGGGGCTCTGGGGGAGAGGTCACGGTGCCTCTCCCTGCTGACAGTAGCTCCGGGGCCAGGGGAGAGGCCCATGGCAGCCCTGCACGCCCCACCTTGCTCCCCTCCCCCCTACCTCTCTCCTCTCCAGGCCCCTGTGGCTGTGCACCTGTGCGGCCCTTTATTGCTTGCTGTGCGGCCACGCAGTTTAGAGGGAACTTTGGGCTCCTGTATTTCTGAATACAGAACACCATTGCTAGAGATACGATAATGCCTCTGTTTCTTGGAGCATTTCCAACGTGAGCTGTCCAAGCCAATGAGCTCATTATAGATGAATTGTCCCCAAGAAAGATCAAGGCAAATCCTCACTAAGTCATCCGGGTTGCAAACAACACATTGCCTAACCTCTACCCCTCTACAGAGAAAATCTTCTTGTGGAAATTCCCACTTCAAGTATTCCTTTCTCTGAGTTTCCAATCCTGAATTAAAAAAAACAAAATGCTAGATCAGCAAAATGATATTGAAAATGCTCAGGGAAACCCTGGTGAATCTGAAAAAAAACTCTGTCTCTCTCCATCCAGCTAACACTCGTTGGTGCCAAGAAAGTGTCTGAAAAAGGGAGCGGGGGTTCTTTGTGCACAGTACACATAGTACTATGCAAGTGGGCTTCTTGTACGGCTGGTTTATTTTAATTGTGACATGTTTTAATGTGGCTTTAAAAATTGTTGCTTTTTGTGGCTTCCTGCAGGGACAGGTAGACAGAGAGCAAATATGCCTCTTCGTATAAACTGAAAACAAGATGGCCAAGTTCAGATGATCCACAGTGGAAGAGTCAGAAAGATGTTTAAAACAATAAAATAGTTCTAGGATAGGTTTAGATCGTATTCAAATTCAATGTAAATCGGGCAGGAGGCACTCTTCTGGCTGAAATGAATATAGTTATTGCTCATAATTTACACATTGGCATATTGAAAAGGAAGTGACAAGAGAGAATGCAGGGTTTCCCCCAAGATTTTAGGTAAAGGTGTGGACAAAGTTCCCAGATGTCTGAATATGCAACCCCAAATGTCCAACAGAGCGTAAGTGGCTCCCTGTGGAGTTAGTTTAGAGCTGGTTAAGAGGGGAGCAAAGGCTTTACGGAACAGAGATGAATGGGAGGAGTCGGTGCAGAAAATGATGTCACCAACCCCTCCTTAGAGCTTGGGGGAAACCCTGCAAAGGAAGAGGAGAGCAGGGAAGGCTCTAGAAGGTTTTCCAGTGTCCCTGCTGGGCATGCTCAAAGTGGTGCCATTGAGCAGGGGAGACAAATTCAAAGTCAATTCTAAGAGCATGCAGTTTCACCTGCCAGGAAGCCATTGTGGCCCAGATGCTCAGGTGATGTATACAGGTGTAGCTCCAATGACTTTGTGCCAATTTGCACCAGCTGAGATCCTGGCCCCGCAGGTGGTAGTTTTATAGTCTATGAATGACTGGTGACCTACCTCTCTTACAGGTTCAGACACAAAGTATGCCTGCTAAGGTGACACACACATCCCTTATTTGTCCCCTTCACTCAATTTTATACGGGCAGTGACAATTCTCCACTAGGTAAGAGGGAATCTGAGTGACTTGCAAAGGAATAGGGGAAATGTGTCTCATAGGTAAGTGGAAGGAGATTTTGCTTCTTGGAATAATGTTGCTGCAGTAGACTCCTATGAAGATTAAGTGGTGAAATTATATTTTTATCTCCAATGAAGCAACTGTTTGTGCTACCAACCCAGAAGGGCCATCCTGCATGTTAGGGACCTACCATATTCTTGATCACCACCTTATACTTGAAAAGAGTCATCTAGATTTCAAAACATGAGCTTTTTTATGGTAGCATAAGAGCTTTATGACAGCTGGCATGGGTTGATGCAAAGGCTGAGTCTACGAACCCCTAAAAACTGTGGTCAGACTAAATTAAAGTAACTCCTCCCACCAATTTGGAGAGCTAAACTCAGACAAGCCAGCATGCTTAGATGCTATGATCAATACATCTCCCTTCAGTTAATCCCATTAAAAGGGACAGCCTCAAGGTTGTAGATCCAAAGAGCTAACCTATATTTGCAGAAACCTACATAATTCATTAACAGCTCCATACTTATATGCTATTTTCTCAGATAAGAAAAAAACCCATGCAAGTCACCCAGCAGCCATGCATGCAAGTTTCAGAGAACATAATTCTGATATGGCAATTTCAGTATCAAGCTCCCAAAGGGTGATTAAGCAGCAAGAAGAAAAATGGGACTTAAAAAACCTCAGTGTCCTTTTAAAGGACAGATTTGCAGTAAAGTTCCCCTTAGTCTCACTATAACTAGTTTGGTATGACTTCAATTAGCTCAGTCTACCAAGCAAAAGCCTTTCAGCAAAGTTACCTTTAAAATATGAACGTGCTTCCCCCTCTCTCACCTGTTCACAAAAGCATGGAAGGTGCTGCTTACAATGCAAGTTATCAATTTTCAGCCACAATTAAACGAGACATGTCGCACCCCTGTTCTCCAATAATACAGTGGCAAGGAGACAACAGCCTAATTTTCATTCCCTGCCTGCATGATCATCCCCAAGGACCTGCCTCTTCACTGTCTTACATCTTGCGCAGTCATTTACTCCTATGCAAATGGGTGTAAAACACTAAACTTCTCACTCCCATAAACTAGTGTTACTCAACAGTAACACCAATGAAGTTAATGGCATTACACTAGCTTTTCACCACTTTTAAGTGCAATCAGAATCAGTCCCACAGGATTTAAACACTATCTCTGCTAACGCCGTTGTTCATGCTGATGTGAATGGGACATAATTAAGAAACTGTATATTCCTCTCCAGTCTATAGCAAGGCCCCCTGATTTCTCTGGGACACCAGTGCCGAAAAGTAGAAATTCTGAAGCAGCTTCAGGAAAATGTTGTGGTTTCTTTTAAAGGCTTTTTTTTAAATTTACATATGAAAATGCTTCACACAATCACTATGATAGCTCCTGCATTATTTAGATCTACATTCAAATGAATTTGTTTTACACCCCCACAATATTTGCAATGCACTGTGTATTGGCAACTCAACCACAGTGCAGAGGATGTCAGGGAGAAGCTGAGGTTTGGGCAACTAGGCAGGCATGGGCTGAACATATTAGCTGAATTCACTTGCTGTAGTGAAAGAGTTAACAGCAAGAGCGTTTGAATTTTCATCATCAGCCATTTATAGCCAACACGCCACAGACATGAATGGGGCTAGTCACCATCTCTCAGATGTTGTTCCTGGCTGGCTGCATAATCAGCAAGACAATTCTGCATTGATGTAGGCTCAGTTCACACTTAGAAGGTTATCTTGCAAACTCAGGGGCTAGCACTTTTCAAAAAACAAAATGCACTTCTGTGGCACAGGACAGATTCTGTGACACTGTCAAATAGATGGGTATAATTAGACCTATTGAGACTGGGGAGACACCCTAGGCCTGATTCTGATCTCACTTATCCTGGTTTTACACCACCATAATGCCATCGACTTCAAGTGGAGTTTGCCCTGATTGACATCACTACCAGAGAGAACACAGTCTGGGCTCAAGGTCACAAGAATGGTTCAGGACAAGTTTCAAAATGACATCCCAGGCACACAGGCCAGTACAGCACGGATGTATTGCTCTCATGTAATCCTTCCGCAGCGTGGGGGGGAATTCCACCCATGATTAATTTCAGAAGGCAGGTATAACGTGATGCTGGTATCTTAACCCAATGGAGAAACTGCTGCACCGAGAGGCTGTGAATGCTAATCTCATGCTCCAAATCCAATTTCAGTCATTCTGCAATCAAGCAAAACTGGAATTACATTTTTAAAAGAAATTTAACCCCCCTCTATTCAAACCTTGAAGACAGTGTTTGTGCACGACTCAGCTACATCAAATGTATTCCTTGGCCGTGAGAATAGGGTCCAATTCCCGTTTCCCAATGCAGTCACCTCTCTAGTGCAAAGCAGACTGAACTCAACCCTTACCAACTGCACAGGAGTACACAATTGCTAGTTCAAGCTGACTGCAGTCTGCTTTAGGCTAGCAGGGGAAAAAAGAATAGTAGGAGAGAAGCAGTTATCACATGAGCCAGCTAGATTCTCTCATAAGAAGCACACGGCAGCCTCTCTATTTGTATACCTCCAGTGGAGTGCATGTGAAAAAAAAAAAAGTCAGAGACA